AAAAAAAGATCGAAAGTTTATGAACATCACTAAATTTAACCACCAATTAAAATAATACACGTGACATTTTTAGTTTCACCATGTTTCAGACGTTTCGCCAGATTTCGGAAATTACGCCAGGTTTCGAAAGTTTCGGAATAGCCGAAACCGAAACCTAAAATAAGCGAAATATTTCACCAATCACAAAGAAATTTCGCCCGAAACATTAATAACTACCTTAAGAATGATAAATATTTAACAAATGTATTACATTAGATATATAATATCTAGCCTTTTTTTAACCATTTTTTATATATAAATATCTTATTCAAAAAATGGAATGGTATCTGTTCAATTTTTTGATTAAGTTTAAAGTATTATTATTAATCTTTTTAAATATTTTATTACTACAAATTAATAATTTTAGACAAAATACTTCTTAAATAATACAAGTAATATCAAATTTTGAAATTGTAAAAGAGGATCACAAGTTTATAAGGATATGTATAATCAGCTTAATAATATTACAGAAAAAGTTCAAAATTCTTAGAAGTAATAATTTAAATTTAAAAATAATCTTGTTAAATAGATTATTTATTTTGTTAACCATATGCTTAATTTAATTGAAATAAACTAACAGTATAAAAAAATTACAAAGTTGATTAATTAAAAAAATAATATCAGAAATTACACTTTGCAAATGAAGATGAACAATGTCTTGAACATTTAAAGACCATTTGAATAATACCTATTTTTTAATTGAAGCTTTATTATTTTAAAATAAATATATATTAATAACTATTTGCTTTATTTGTTTTCTATTATACTGTTTAATCAAATAATTAATTATTTTAGAAAATGAAGGTGAAAATTTTACTAAGGCATTTTTTTAATTATTTTGTCTAAGATGTAAAAAATTTATTTATTTACAGGTGATGATTGAAGGGAAAACTATGAATAAAAATTGGATGTTTACTGCATAATATACTGTGAAGGTTCAAATGTCATACTACTATTTATTACGATTTATAGTATTATATAAGAAAAACTTTTAAAATGAAAAGTTTTGAAATTTCCATACCTAATACTAGTAAATCACATGATCAGTGTGTAACATTTAATGATCATAATTTCTTATAAAAAAAACTCTTATAATTCATTTTGATGGAATTTTTTTTCAAAATGCCAATAAGCAAATTAGAAGAAAAGTTTGAGTTAGTAAAGAAAACCTTGCTTGAATTTAATAAGGAGAATATTATAAAAGAGAATACAATAGAAAGAGGCATGACTGAAGAGAAATCAATAAAAAATACTATAGAGTCAAGAGAAATTGTAGTTTTTAGTGACATATTACTTGAAAGATACTACAAGTTTCTTGAAGAATGGAAAAGGTTTAACGTTTATGTTCATTTAATTAAGGGAAAGTTATCACGTACGAAATGCCTAGTCTGTCTCATTCAATTTTAATGGGAGAATTTTGTTGTATTATAAAAAGTTAGAGCAAACGACTTTTTATTCTTAATAATATGGATATTACTTTGGTAATAACAGTGAGTATTGCGCTGATATCGCAGTTGTACCAAAGAAAGTTTCACAATATAAACCTAAACACATACCGCTACCAAGAATAATCGTAGAAGTGGAAAAAATTAAGTCTTTCAAAAATTTGGATTATATAGCGGGAGAATACTTTTCTGCTTCTACACAAACTAATTTAATTCAAGTTTATTTATCATTTAAGATATTCCCTTGTCGAGAAGATGACACCGCTGCAATAGTTGTGATACTTTATCTACATAATAACCTGATTCCAAATCCAGCACTAAACAGGCCAAACCCACGACCAAACACGCCAGCAATGATAAGTGTACAAAACACAATACCAAATCTCATAATTTCATTTGGAACAGCCCCCATCCATTGTGAGCTAGCATCTTATTTTGTTAATACCAGAATATAAAATAATAGAATTACTGACCTCTTACAGCCTAATGATATTGCTTGTATAGCTGCCGGAATGCCGGGTTATCAAATTTCTATAGCTTCAAATTTGCTCTTCCATGGTTCTCCTGGAGGTGTACCCCAGGGAACGCCAAATAATTTTACCATTGACCTGTGGGAGATACAACAAATAATATTGGATTATCTGGTGAGTATTGCTTTCACGCTTTTAACTGTTACATTATTATTGGTAATTCATAAATATATATTTTTTAACATTTTTTAGTGATAATTCATCTCATGATGGATATATTTGGAAATATATTTTATACTACGGCATTTAAAAAAAATTTGCAAAATGTAAACAAATTTTATTAGTAATAGTAGTGCATTAAAGAATAAATGAGAGACAGCTTGCAATACATTATTATCTATCTGTTCCTTCGCCATTATTGTTCTATGGTCCCATTACTTAATTTAGTTCAGTTATTTGATCTTCTTTAGTAATCCTCGTGATATACATGAAGTTTCTTTACGCTTGCTCCCTTATAATAACCAAAAGTCATAGCGATTATATCACGAAATTTTAGGTAGATCAGCCTACAATAATTCCACACATGTTTGTTCGGAAATATGTTCGTTTGCAAAATTATAAAGTAAATCCTTGTTATTCCATACTCACGTGCGTAAGCGCATGTGATTATCATATTAAGTAATCCGTAACGAAGTAAGTTTATCGACATCTACTTACTGTATATTTTAAACGTTTCTTTTTTTTCCTGAAGATTTTTTGTGTAGGTTTATTAGGTAGGTTAAATGGCGTAAATTACAAAACGGAATTTGTGCAGGTAGATCATCCGAAATATATATTAAATCACGTGATAAATATATCTAATCCAATTAAACCTTCTCGCAAAATTTTTTATAATAGACGAGACATACCATACCAAAGAAAGAACTTATCATAATATCTGTTTAAAAAGTTAATGATGAATTTCTGATAATATTATGTTCCTCATTTCCCACAACCATTTTTTAGAATAATATTCAATTAGCAATGCTCGTTAAAAATACAAATATCTGAATCGTTTTCGAAGCGAAACTTGTCCTGAAACTACAACGGTTACTACAACAACGACAACAAAAAGGCTGTAACGTTCAGGGATGAAAGGTAATATATACTATTATATGGTTTAAATTTTGAAATTTCGGATTGATTCGTTCAACATCAAGATATTTTTAAAAATTATTTTCTTTATTTGCAACTTCGTAATTATTAAATTAACGAAAAAAATAATTTATATGGATTATAGGAAGAGATTTGCGCCTAAACTGTAAATTCAACTACCCAAAGAGGAGCATGTTGAATAATATCGTTCATTTCATTTGAATAGTTTGATCTTTTTTGATATAATTATTTTATCATGATGGGCCCATCTTTGTCTAGAAATCCAAATATAGATATGCGAGAATTAGGTGACAGAAGAAAATTTCAGATGTAACCCAAATCTGATATCATTAATTAGGCTAAATTTTTGCCATCGGGGACCAATGCCATCGGGGAAATCGAATCCAATGAGCCAAGATTATAATAACCATACTTGTCAAGTATTGTCAGAAAGCAGAGCGTTCGAATATTTTTGATCGTACCCGGGGTTTCTGAACGAGTGTGAATTGGAACCTTTTGATAAGAAAATTGGTGGTTACCTTAAATGAATTGATACTATTTTTGGGAATAAACAGGGTATAAGGAAGAGCTATCCTTGATAAATACAAAATGGCAAGTAAACTTTATTTAATGAATGAAGTGGAGAAAGCTGTTAAACTTCACAATGCTATGTTGAAGTTCGACTATGATACTACCGTAGAAACTATTTCAACTCTTGCAGGAGTTCTCACAACATTTTCATTGGCGTGATACGAACCTACTTGGTTGCTTGTCATTCAAGGCTAATTGCTGAGCAACAAAACCAGTGTCAGGTAGGGTTGGAAAAGTTGATCTGGCCTTGGTATTAAGACTTAAAAGTCTTATCAAATGGACTTAAAGTATATAATAAGTTTAAGGACTTAAGTCTGACCGTAGGGTTAGAACGGTCCGGTCTGGTCCAAAAAGATCGGTCTTTCATCTTTCTTAGGACCGGACCGGTCCATAAGTCGGTCCTAGGACCGGTCTATAAGTCAATCTTAGGATTTGATTTTTTTAAATGTGCGCATCGGAAATAAATTTCTTAATAAGTATTCTCTAAATTTTTACAAGATAATTAAAAATTTTTTAGCAATTAATCATGTACTTTTTATGTTATATTGTTTGCAAAGCAGTCAAACATTATGTCCCCATTGCAATTTTCTCTATTTCAGCAAGAATACGGTAGAGATTCAAACAAAGAATTTAACAATAAGTTTGGCCATTTCTATTCCAACATTCACAAATGTAACAGTTATAACGGGAGAAATGACAAATATGCCCAATAATATTGCCAAAGATGTCCACACAATTATTGGAATGGCTGTATAAGCACGGACTTTATTATCATAAAATATCCCTAATCTTTCCATACTGGTTCCCAATACAACAATTTTAGCTATGTAGTAGACACTATTCAACAAGACAATAAAATACTTTGTGGATTCTTCGTCCTTGAAAAATAATCCATATATTAAAACGATAAGACCAGTGATAAGTGTGTATAAGACTAAGCCAATTAGTTCGGACCCGATTTCCTATTGGGTTTCGTAGGAAAGAAAATCCGACGAAAAAACTAATGTCAATATAAATTATAGTGATCTTTGACAATATATATAAGTATTTTAAGTAAAAACATACTGATTTTTTTCTTTCTTCAATAAGCACTTCTAAAAACCCAATTCTTTCAGCACGAGTGGCACACTCATTGTATATATCTCTCTGCCGCCTAGTTAGACTTTCACAAGTTCTTTTTAGATGGAAAGGTATATTGTTACCGTTTCCTGAAATGAACAGTGTAAGTCACTAACAAACTTGAATAAATTGGGAAATTACAGTATTACATGCACAACAATCTTACCTTCGTTAGCATTGTTGCTCTCGTTGTTATCGTGGTTCCCGTTCACCATTTTTAAGAGTAAAAGAAAAGTAGTATAGGTGTTTGACATTGCATTAATGACGTCATTTTGTGGAAATCCCTGTGATGTTAATTGGGGTTGCACAATATTTTTTACGAACCGTTATCTTTTTTCTTTTTTACTGAAAATGTCAACCGCTATTGCGAGAAAAAATTCTTTTTAAAGATTTTAAAAAAAGCAAATTTACCCAATTCTTTGAAAAAATAACTTGGTTGATTACTCTCTCTATGGTTCAAAATTAAAGTTAAACTTTCCCGAACAAGCCGCCCAAATTTTATAAATTTTACTGTTCCAATTTGTTTGTACATTGATAGTGTATAAAATTTATTACATTATTTTTTTTTATTTTTTTTTTTTTAAATTATTCTTTAAAGAGAAGAAAAATATTAAATTGAGACATTTTTCGTTTTAAAAATACTAATTATTAACTACATTTGGGTTTAACCGATTTCTTTTTGTTGTTACATGATTTCATGCATCTAAAAAAAGAAGTTCACTTCTCTTATTTTTAATTTTACCTTTCTTATAAAATAAAAAAATTAATAAAGAGTTTTCCTTAAAACTTTTCATTTACGTGTCAATAATTTTAAAAATCAGAGTTTGTAGCAGTAAATAATAACGCGTCAGTCAATGATTTATTTTTATAATAACGCGTTTCTCTATAGTTTATTTTAATCAGTAATCATGATGAATTAAATAATAACGCGTCAGTCAATGATTTATTTTTAGATATAATAACGCGTCTCTCAATAGTTTATTTTAGAAATCAGTAATCATGATGAGTTAAATAATAACGCGTCAGTCAATGATTTATTTTTAGATATAATAACGTGTCTCTCAATAGTTTATTTAAGAAATCATTAATCATGATGAGTTAAATAATAACGCGTCTCAATAATTTATTTTTAGAAATTCAGTTGTAACAATAAAGAATAACGCGTCTCTAGAATCAGTAACTGATGTAAACAAGACATTCCACATTACGCGTCTTTGATTTTATTATAAATACTCTCCATCTCACCTCACAAAAATTTTCAACTTTTTCCTTTACCCTTCTTGATTTTATTATTAATATTCTCCACCTCACCTCACAAAAATTTGTACTTTTTCCTTTACCCTTCCCTTATATATTTTATTATCCCCCGAGCATATTTTTTTCTTGATTATTTTTTTATCTTTAGTTTACGACCTTTATTTTTTTTACAAAAAATCGAAAGAAATTTTTACAAAAAAATTCCAAAAGAAAAACCAATAAAAAGTAAGTATACTTTTGTATCTTACGTAGTAATATTTTTTTTTTTAATTTCGACGAAGCGAGTTTTTGTGTATACGTACAGAACGCTATGTATTGTTTTCTTCTCTTAAAGAGATAAAAACTTTCTTCTCTTCGAGAGATAAAAATATTTTTCTTTCCTTGCGAGAGAAAAACCTGCGTTTAACCGTTTCTGGTCCCAGTTCAGTCATCATGCGTCGACTCCTAACAGTGTTGATCTTTTGGCGTTTATCTAGGGAAACCATGTTTTTTTTTTTTTTTTTTTTTAACAGGAACATTTAAAAATGTATAAAATTTTATCTCGTAAATCTAACTTGATTATTTTTTTTTATCTTTAGTTTATTAGGAACGAGATCAAAATCGGTAAAAACCATTATTTATTATTTTTAGTTTATGACATTTGATAATGCAAAATAATTTTTCTTTTAAAATTCGTAATAAAAATGAATCAAACACATATATCAATAAAATGTAATTTATATCTATTAAAGAGAGAAATTTCAATAATAATAAAAATTCTAATAAAAGGTTTATAATTTTTGAATTTTTAAAAGTCGGTTCCAATTATTGCAAAAAAAAAAAAAAAAAAAAAGTCTAGCCGATTAATCAAAAAAAAAAAAAAATGAAAATTAAGATTTCTCGCTCGAAAAGAAAGCATTAAAAGGAGAATTCTTTTCATTTTATTATCATCCTTCATTTGCGAATAAACTTAATTCGTTTTTCATAAACAAAATAATTGTTGATATAAAAAGATTATGCTGCGCAACTTGACAAATCTTGTTTAGGAGTTGCCGTTGCATTCGAATTGTTTATATGCTTTGAACTTTGGTTTATGATGTAATAACTATCAAACCAATTTTTCCTTGCTCCTTTTTTATTTTATTTTTCGATTACAAACGTTACAAATATTATTAACACTTATTTGACGCTATTTCATAAGACATCGTCGAAATTAATGTCAATAAATAAATGCTTGCCCCTATTTTATATCTTGCTTTTGCGCTCTCAGACTTTGATAAATTTCCTTTAAAGGAATATTATTGATTATTGTAATTATTCTTTAAAATCATTTTAATTAGTGAATTACATATATTAGAGCGATTGTGATCTTGGCATTTTTTTTTTTTTTATTTTAATTTAAATTCCAAAACATGCATCTAATTTAACAATAGTGAAATGTACTGATTAAAGTGAACTTAACAATATTTATTCTCGATTTATTAAAATACTTCTTTGTTTAGCTTCTTCAAAATAAGTCGAGTAAAAAAAAAAATAATATCCATCAAACAAAATTTCTAAAATACAACGTAAGGTAAAAAAATGAACCCGACACATTGATAAACTGTCTGAAGAACGCCTTCCTTTTTGATTTATTATTTTGTGATTAATAAGTAGAAATTTCATATATCTTCGATTGTTCCAATGTAATTTCCGGTGCGAAATTTTTTATGATATCATGTCCTAGGATTGGGATAGTTTCTAAAACCGAAATCGAATAGGCAAACATCGAATTATTTAAATAATTATTTTTAATTCATCTTGAATGGTTTTTTTTGTGGAGTTTTTTTTTTATCAAAAAATTTTAAATATTGTATTTTAAATTTTAACATGATTGATATCGTACAATACATACGCGCAAGTTTTAATAATAGAATTATTTGTTTGTTATTTACAACAAAATAAATGAATAAAATTAAAAAAAATATATAATTCTATCTTTGTTCCCGCAGAACCAATACTGATAAATTATGGAATTTCCTTTTTTTTAAGTAAAAGACTTTAAAGCAAACTTTAAAATATAAATTTTATGTCATACGAATTCAAAAACCTAATTCAAATTCTATTTTAAGAAATCTCTCCGGCATCAAAGGATTTTGTATTTCTGTCACATATTTGATATTTTACCATCTATTTCGAATACTTCCTCTTTTGTGTTGTGGTTTACCGTAAGATAAACTTTGATTTCTTGAAGATATTCTATTTAACAATAATGATTTACCTCGTGGTTGACCAATCCCAAACTTATCCAAAAAAGATGAACTTAATTGGACGTCTTGTCCAAAAGACTTTGAAAATTCATTAACAGCTGGCAATAAATTATCTTTTCTGAGATAAGTACTTGTTTTTCCTGAATCTGAAAAATAAAATTATTTATAAATTTAATTAATAATAATCATAAAGATTTTGTATATTAAGATTATTACTCACAATATCCTAGAAAGGCTGCACTAGCACTCCTAATCTGATCATAATCGAGCTCTTCAAGAGCTCTTTCGATCATACCATCATCCTTAAGAATATATGATCGCCCGTCTACTTCTTTTACTGGTAGGTTATGAATAAGTTTTGTGAATCCTTTCTCGAATGGTGCCAGAACAAGAACTCCTTCACCTTCTCTTCCTGCACGGCCTGTTCGCCCCAAACGATGAATGTATTGTTCCCGAGAAGAAGGCGCACCAACTTGAAGCACCATCGTAACCCCCGGGTAATCTACACCTCGTGCTGACACATCAGAAGTAACGAGAACTGCACTATTTCTTGATTTGCGGAATCTCTCTGATACTCTGGAACGTTGGTTTTGTGACAAACCGGAATGGAGCTCATAAACTTCTATGTCACCTAGATTTCTCAAAAATTCGGCATAAAGCATGGTTCCCATTCTTGTTGATAAGAACATTATTATTTTTCCATTTTTATGTGATTTCTTATGTTCCTTCATGACATTTCTAATAACGTTGAGATGCGAATCATAAGGGGTTATGATATATGATTGTTTGACTTGGAGGTTCGTGTTAACATCATTTGGATCAACGGTATCAATAAATGTGTAATCAGGCTTGAGAGACATTTTGGCTATTTGTCGAATTTGTGAAGAAACCGTTGCGGAAAATAGAAAAGTTTGTCTCTCTTTTGGGAAAAATTCCACGATATTTTGAATATCTTCTCGAAAACCCATATCTAATAACTGGTCTGCTTCATCAAGAATTAACTATTCGAGTTAAACAAAAAACCCCCAATGAGAAAATAAATTAAAATAATGGAAGATATTTTACATCAAAAAAAATATAATTAAAGTGAAATTTGAATGACTTACAGTTTTTACGCCTCTACATTGCTTTGTAAAATTT